GTCATTGACCAGAATGACAACGCTCCAGCATTTACTCAAAACCCTTTCTATGGCAGAGTGAGTGAAAGCGCGAACACCGGTGAGACAAGGATTCAACTAACTCTACTTCAATACTGAAATGCTCAGTTTCAACTAACTCTATTTCAATACTGAAATGCTCATTTGAATTCCTAATAGACAATGTTGTATTGTTGTCTTCAACAGGTGAGTCTGTCATAAAGGTTGTAGCAGTGGATAAAGATGACCCACAGACAAACAATGCTATGGTTAGATACAGTATAAAGGCTCAGATGCCCACAGAGGACATGTTTGCCATAAACCCAGTGAGTGGGTTGATTAGGGTAAAAGCAGGCGTAGGCCTACTGGACAGAGAGGTAATATAATCACTACACTTCTATTTATAATACTTTCTCCTTCCTCACTTAACTCTCGTTCCTGTTTCAGACTCAACCAGAATACAAGCTGCTCATTCAAGCAGCTGATATGGAGGGGGAGGGGCTAAGAACCACCTGCACTGTCATCATTACTGTCACTGACAGCAACGATAATGCTCCACAGTTCACCGTCACATCTGTGAGTCAAAGATGCCCAAACACTTCATAATAATGTTGAAATAAGTTGAGTCTATAAACGCATTTAACACTGTTTCATGCTTTAACCCCAGGTATCAACATCAGTCCCTGAGAATGAGGCTGGAGTGGAGGTTGTAAGACTAAAGGCCACTGACAAGGATGAGTTAGGATCTCCAAACGCCAACACCATATACTCAATAATCAAAGGCAACGAGAGGGGAGACTTTAACATCACCACAGGCTCCAGTAAAATGGAGGGAATCATCAAAACAGCCCAGGTCTTTTTTTTATTCAGGAATCTTGTTGTTTCTTTTTACATGCAGACTACTTCATCCTTCTTTCCTTATCTCCATCCTCTCCAAGGAGCTGGATTTTGAGAGCGTTCCTGTCTTTACTCTGCTGGTGGTGGTGACCAATGAGGTGCCGTTTTCTGGACGGGTGTCAACCTCGACAGCCACAGTGACTGTTGCAGTGTTGGACAAAAACGAGCCTCCTGTTTTCAGGCCAGCAGAGATTTATGTAAGCATCTCAGAGGATGAGAAAACAGGGAGTTCTGTGGCTGACCTCAAAGCAAAGGACGAAGACACAGCTAGGAAACAGAGTGTTAGGTATGATAACACACTTCATACATATTGTCGACATCTGGTTGGCCCCAAAATGTGTATATTAAGTGTGGTTAAATGCATTTTTTTTAGATCTAATTAGGTTGTGTCTCTTACTTTTCTGCAGATATAAACTACAGCATGACACTGCGAGGTGGCTGAGTATTGATAAAGACTCAGGATCTGTCAAAGTTAAAAGCAACATGGACAGAGAATCACACTACGTCACAGACAGCAAATACACAGTCCTAGTTTTGGCTTACGACAATGGTACATCTATGTTTGGTCTTAACTGACAAAACTCACATCATCTTCTTTCCAACTGGCAAAACAATAACACTTCTCCTTTCATTCTCCTAGATACCGTCCCAGCTACAGGGACAGGTACTCTGGTTGTGACTTTATTAGATGTGAATGACCATCGTCCTGTAATCAAGCAGAGGAGAGCCAGTCTGTGCAATATTGACCCTTTTCCTGCCCTGCTGGATATCATAGATGTGGACGGACCTGGTCATGCTGGGCCCTTTACTGTGGAGCTTCAAGGAGAGCACAGAATCAACTGGACTATCAGCACCAATTCCACAAGTAAAAGCTCATTACTGTAGTTCAAAAATGTAGAAGTTGAATTTTAAAGGTCCCCTATTATACTGTTTTTCATCAATATATTGTAGGTCTCAGATATATACAAAACATGTCTCTGAAGTGTTTGGCTAGAAATACCAAACAGATCATTGCAGCATCCCATAGAACCCTCTGTTTCAGCCCTGTTTCAAAAGTGCTGATTCTCTATCTGTTACTTTAGATGAAAATAAGGAGCCCCTCCCCACGCCCCTCTGAGAGATATTTGGTTAAAAAGAACACAATGGTGCTCTAGGAGCAGATTCAGGTGATAAGGTGTGGGGGGGGGGGTTATCTTGGTTGGTGATTGGCTAATGGTTACACAAGCCAAAAAAATATCGTTATGACATCATAAAGTGGCCAAAATCTGATCAGCTCATTTTCAGACAGGTTTTTATATATACAGAGGGGACACATGTTGATGTATAAAAGAAATGAAAAAGTGGATTTTGCTTAATAAAGACTCTTCAAGAATAACTGCGTCTTGTCTCCCCTTTCAGACAGTGTGGCAGCCCTGGCTCCCAAACGGGATTTGCCCCCTGGAGACTATAGTGTGCTGATGCGTATTTATGATGTCGGCATGATCTACCAAGACAGCGCCCTGGATGTAGAAGTGTGCCAGTGTCAAGGCGCTGTCTCTACCTGCTTCATCCCGCGCTCTGCCCCTCATCTGCACGGCTCATCTCTCGTAACATCAGTTCTGGGAACAGTTTTCGGTCTTCTGCGTATGTAGCAGGATTGTTTTATTCACTTGGTATCCTGATTTGTTTTGGTTTATTTGTACTGACTTATTTTGTTTTTGTTGACCACAGTGCTGCTCTTGCTGCTGCTGCTGTTGCTGAAAAGAAGGAGGAGGTCAGAAAAGGATTTTCCTCTCCTTGAAGATGTACCCAGGGACCAAATCTTCTGCTACAATGAGGAGGGGGGAGGTGAAGAGGACCGGGTAGGAGCAGGACGTTTAAATACAAGTTTAAAAGATAGTGGCACTGTCAGTTGTCTAAGGCAGGAGGACTAGAGAGATTCATGACCTACAGCACCAGATCATCTAGTAAAGGGATTCATTTTGGCCAAAGGTTTGCAGAGAGTTAAGTGATCCAATGACTAACAGAGGTGAAGGGCTAACTGGTTGGTGGAAGAGGAACAAAACAGGTGAAAGTTAGAGGATATTTCATGTTTGTAACTGCAGTTAAAACAGAGAAAGAGGGGGCAAATCAGAACAGTATGCAGACAGACTGTGCATTACATTACATTACCCTCCCCTGATGTGAAACGCTGACTCATGCTTAAGTCAGGAAAAAATTGTCTCGAGGCTGCTCCATATTATTAATCTCTTTAATCTCAATCTTTCATTTTAGAAAATGATTGAATTAATTTTTCTCTTTAGGAGTATGACCTGAGTCAGCTCCTCAGAGGCCTGGATGATCGTCCTGAAGTCTTCTGCTCTGATGTGTTCCCTGCTGTCCAGAGACCCCCATCCTACCGCCTACAACTCCACGACAACGAAGAGATTTTCCATTTAATTGAGGATGTGAGTGATGTTGAATTTTATACCAGAATATCTGTGGTATAGGACATTGTATCATTGCAATATTTCTTTGTGATTGCTACTCAAACTCTCTGTATGTGATGCGTTTCCCTGGTTTCCCCTACAGAACGTGCATGCTGCCGACAGTGACCCCACAGCGCCTCCCTATGACTCTCTCCTGGTGTTCGACTACGAGGGTGTCGGCTCAGACGCAGGTTCGCTCAGTTCAGTCGACTCCTCGGATGAGGATGAGGAGCAGGACTTTCAGAGCCTGAGCCTGTGGGGGCCGCCCTTCAGCATGCTGGCTGACCTGTACACGGGGGGGGTGGACGACGACGCAGAAACACTGCCAGGAGTAACAGAATGGGTCTGACAGAGATCTTATATTATTTGTCCATCTGCCAGAGGTCCTCACAGTGATGTCTTTCTGTTGCCTTCTGGGGCCTTTTGGATGAGATGCTCACGTTCTGTTAATGATTTATTCTTAGTAGGGCTGCTCGATTATGGCAAAAATCATAATCTCGATTATTTGGGTCAATAATTGATATCACGATTCTTAAAAACCATTATCCATTTATTTGAAAACATCAATCTTTTGGAGAAAAAAATGTGAACAGTTTGTTTTTAACAGTTGATTACCCTGAACTTTAGGTATAATTCAACTGAAAAACCAAACAAAAAAAAGAAAAAGTAATAATAATAATACAAAAATAATCGTTTTATTTCGATTACGTTGCTTTCGCAATCGTTGCAAGCCATAATCTTAGCGCTCGTGGCTTTGTTTAATGCAGAAAATCTACTGGTAGACAATGACATTTAAAACGATATCATATTTAATAGAATTTGTTCTGAGCCTTTGTTGATGTTGTGACACTGTTCAAACTACACCTCAGATATTTTGACTATATTATAGTTACATTTGTGCTTTAGTCAACTTTTGTTTATCAATTATTATTAATTCATTTAATTTTTCCAATGCACTTTGCTATTGCTCTGCCAGAATAGATCAGGCTACAAAAACCAATATCATATATCTAATCCTGTTTTTCTTTTCAATTTCTTTTTAAAAGATGAAGTTACTTTTACCCTCATCGTATCCTGTTCTTACACGTTTTATGATTAAGTTAAAAACAATTAAAGTTTGTTATCATTTAAAAAAAAAATGTATTACATAAAACAAATTATATCATGCTATTTGAATAAAGAGGCTTAGTTGCAGAATGTTATGAAGAGTTGTTTTATTGAAAGTAATGTAAAAATGGACAATATTTAAGGTAATGTAGCAGAGTTCTGTGTGTAGAGCAGGACAATGGTGGAAGAGCTCATAGAGACAACACTTACATTAGACTCCATGACATAGAATGATGCAATGATATTTAAAACAATTAATTGATTGGTGTGTAGCCTGATTGCTGGATGATTGAATTCATTTCTCTATTTTTTCATTTAAATTTCACATTTATTCGTACATCTGAGGAGTTGAGTTTCTATAGAGTGGTATGTATTCTTGGCTATTAAGACACAAAGAAAAATCCTACCCAGTTTCTAAAATGAAACCAGTCCTCCGCTGTCACAGTAAACTTTGTCTACACGCTGATAAGCTCTTGACCAGTGAGCTCCCTGTGTCATTTCCTCAATAGTGGACTTTAACCGGTCCTTATCGACACACTCCCGTGAACTAACCCCTGGATCAGCTGCACTACACTGAGGAATAACAGCGGCGAGAAAATGATCTGTTTAAATGTTTCTTATTTCAGCTAGAAGACATATTCTATTCTATATGAGGGCATGTGGATGAATGAGTGGAAGCTGTACAACATTTGTGGAAGGTAAGAAGCTACATGGATAGAAATCAAGAGTAAAAACTGAACAAAGGTGTGTTGGCTGACTGATTACTTTTAGCAACCATTTGTTTTCCTATAAGTTAACCTCTCCCTCGCAACAGATGACGCAGAACATGTTCCAGGAGGGGTTGTACCAGGTGTTTTTTAAGGAGACACCCTTAACCCACCCACCGACCCCGGCTACCAATCACATCGAGCTACTTAACGGCAGGATTCATCGCTGGTTTGGGACGGTGGTTAATACCAGACTATTAGTCACTGGGGTGAGATTCTATCATGTGCTTGTCGAAACCATTAGTATGTTTGATCTATTAAACTGTCGGCCTGCTTCATACCATGTACTTCCTTCAGGTGGTGCAGATCCTCAGTGCCTTATCTTGCATACTGGCCACAGTCACCCATGCATGTGTCAGCTACAACTGCTCTGTATCCATGACAACACCTGTGTGGTCAAGCCTGTTTGTGAGTCCACATCTGCTTCGGCTGATATAAACTCAGACAGAGAGAGAGTCAAATACTGGGTCATAACTGTGTGTGTTGTTACAGTATGTGGCTTCTGGGTGTCTGGCAATGGAGGTTCAGAGGAAGGCTGATAAATTAAAGGTTAATATTACGTTTTATGATTTAAAATGTCAGTTTTTCAGCTGCCTCGTCTCATTGTGCATTGTGAATCCTGAACAGATCATCGCTCTGATGGGTCTGAACCTCTTTAGTCTGGTGTTTGGCTTCTCTACTCTCCTCGCATCCGGCCTCAGCTCCACACAGCATGTCGCACTCAACTCCAACCAACAGGTACATTTATGTAGCATGGGCACTGTATAAAGATCATTCTGGCTTTTTTAAGGTCACCTATTATTCAAAATCCACTTTTTCACATCTTTTATACATCAACATGTGTCCCCTCTGTGTAAAGAGATTCTAAAAGTTACAGGAAAAAAGATTCTCTCTCTTTTTGTCCTGATCCATTCATATAAAAACCTGTCTGAAAATGAGCTGATCAGAATTTGGCCTCTTTATGATGTCATAACGTTTTTTTGGGTTGTGTAACCGTTAGCCAATAAACAACCAAGGTAACTCTCCACATTTCTCCAAATAGCGCATTGGTTCATATGTTGCAAAGGGAAGCTCCATAGCGTTTGCTATACAGTGTCTTTTGGCGTCAGTCTACATCCTTTTCCTGTCGCTGAGAGGCCTGCGTCGCTACAGTCCCAATATTCAGGCCTACAGCCGCATCTCACAGGTAAATATTGCAGGGTATGAGTAATAGAATAACATGAGCATAAAAAAGGGATGTGTTCAACATTAACTTGGATGCTTTGTTTTGGTCATTACAAATTCAGTTAAACACTACAGTTTAACTCTGTCTGCCGATTGGCAGTGATGATGACATAAATATTGTTGGATTTAAAGGGGTCTGAATTGTATTTTTTTTCTGCTCAGGATCCAGATGAAACCAATGGGCCACTACTGGAAAATGTGGAATTCAGTCTGTGAAACTGAAAGACCTGAAACGAAACACTCCTGCCGCAATGTTTTTGTAAACTCAGTTACTGTTGTTGATCAGGGTCTGTATGGCTGGTATGAATAGGTTGTGCAATGTGATTGTGTTGTGAGGAAATTGTATTAGATATTGTGAAATCATACCGTGTCACCTTACAGAGGCCTCAGTATCACTTCTCCTTGGGAATCCCACAAAAATAAATGATTAACTTGTCAATAGCAAAGATTAAACCTACAAAAACAGAACATGTTAACAAATAAAGGGTGTATATAAAACACAGTAATGATGACATTCAATTAAATAAAGTAGATGCATGTTTTTACAGCTGAGCTATCATAATCTTACATTGTCAAAACTGATTATCGTTTTTCACAGACAGTGCTCTGTGTTCAACACTAGAGGGCAGCATTGCCTGAGATTTGTCATGTTGTGCAGTGTGTGATTAACTTCCTCTGTTTAGTGTAACAATAGATGAGGAAACTTCGTAACAAGTAAGACTTGTCTGCTGCACATGTTGATATATTGGAGAGGAAACAAACGTTGCTGCAATGATTTAACTATAAACTCTTCGACCACACTTGGTCTTTCTCAAGTGAATTCACTGTTTTTGATCTGATGATCATTGAGAGTAAATAAATATGCTGTTTTACTAAATCTGCATTGATCTGTTTGATTAGACTAGTCTTGATTTCGACATTCACTTTTACCCTGGCCTCGGCTTAAACCATAAAACCAAATACCAGCCCTAAGACTGCCCCTTAGCAGTCTTGACAAAATGTCATAATGTTGCAAAAATGTCCTGACTTTTATGGCTTGAAACTGAAGCTGGTCCTCACAAAGATAGTCCTAAGGTTCATAGAGTACAGACAGAGTCAAGGGTGTGGTGTGTGTGCGAGTTTTGCAGTGATGGAGGGTTTCATTAAGGATAAAGCAAGGTCATACACCACTCTCATAGTAAGCGCACACACATCCACCCACCCACACACAAACAGACTTGTAGGAGAAAAAAGAAATCACTGAGGAACGAGTTTCTCACGGCATGTCTGGCTAACAGCTTCCAGCTGTTGCCTGGTTGGGAGAGCTGCTATGGGAACACACCGAGTACAAAGAAAACCATGGGATTCATTGGTAAATGGACACAGAAGGAGAATAAAAGAAAGCAGCAGGATGACGAGTAGGGTGTCCAGACAAACACTGACATCTGACTCCTCTGATAGAAACCACTTTTCTGTGTGATATCAAAACTACTGTGTGTTTGTCATCTGTGTATCTGGTGTTTCATGGTATTAGCGTACATGTTGAGTTGTAGAAACAATCCATTTGTTTAGATGTCTGCATTTCCTGCCAGTACACTTTAATCATGGTTCAATGCTGCATTAACACAGGGAAAAAAATTGCACAATGTGACCAGAGGTAGAAGCCAAACACAGTGGCCTGCAAATCAAAAGCTACACGTGCGACATAAAGCCCGCCTATGCATCCGGGCAGCTGTTTAATCTCGAGGTTGGGTGGTGAGTAATATCTTTTGTCTCTGGAGTATATCTTCCTTCTGGCTCCACAGGAAATCCTTCTGGCCCAGTTGGAGTGTAGAGGGAAGTGGCCGAGGCCTGGATGTGATGACAGAAGAGTGAGTGTGTCCGGGGGAGAGGAAGTGGTGAGTACATGAGGGGATCCCCTTTGATAAGTCACACTGATAGTCGACCGTTCAACAGAATGTTTCTGATCTGAGACCCCTTGTAGTGAGTCAATGTCTAAATATCGTCATGATTTTAATTTCTGAATGAAAGAGAGGGAAAAAAACAGACAAAGGCGTAATCTTGAGAACATTCATCAATAATTTATTTTTCTTACTCTCAAGAACCACCACTGCTTCTCATCTTGAAAATTCATCATCAATTTCCAACAACACAGTTTTGAAAAATGTAAAGTTACTATACAAATTTTTAATAGAAAAAAGAATAAATTAACTGTGGAACTCAGTTATTTTTTTGATCAATTCCACATTTTTTCTACAACACCTTTAATGCATTGTTACAGTTGAACAGAACTGATAAGATCAGGTTACATGCTCTATTGTCTGGTAGCCGAAGTGATCTACTATTAAACTGTCTGTTCAAATAAGCTTCATTTTGCACATCTGGTAGTTGAATCTATTGATAATAATGAAGATGCCTAGATCCTACGTGACGAAGCAGTAACTGGTCATTTTGTAGCACCTGAAGTGGTTGTTACAATGTCAGAACTAAAAAAAACAAACAATACTGGTTCATATAAAATGGAACATTGTTAAAACAATGAATGTGAATGTTAAAACCCCCCACAAAACCTTACAGTGCCCCTCCGTACATACAGGAAAAGACTGATAAAAGAGTTAGTTCATTTTACAAAAAAACTCATACATTTCATGGAGCACAGACAATATGGTGTGTTTGGAGCTACAGAGGGACGGGACGTCACACTTTTTCACATCGGGCTCAGAGATTACCACAAGGTCAAGATGGGACTTTCTGCGGGGGTGCGAGGAAACACTATGGAGCAAGACGTGCTAATGTTAGCGTACGGAAGTCGGATGCTGGATATCTTTGGGGTCTTTATTTGTAAGTGGATCTGCAGGGCATGCATGGGAGCGTGTCTTCAGCACACAGAAAGTGAGCCAAGACTTACTAACTTGTCCTCTAAAGGTGACTCGGAAACACTAGAGTAATTCATTTCTAAAGGATGGTGTGCTGGTTCCAGCCCTGGGTAAAGACTGACCAGGCATGGGTGAGCAACTCTTGGAGAACCAACCATGCAGGGAATGGGCTTAACCTTATTTAAATAGTCTTTAAAGTGGCAGATTACAACAGCTGTTGTCAGTGCATAAAGGGAACACAAGACTACGATGGACACGGTAAAATGCCTACCAGTCCTCCCACACCTTTAAACATGTAACACCATTAATCCATTAAAATGTAAGACAACGCGCTCAACTCACAATTAGACTTCGAAGACTGGTTGCTGGATCCTCAATGTAGAGGATAGAAAAGAAAAGACTATGAAAGCCAACAAATTTGACTTTTTAATATTATCACACCAATGTTACTGAAGAATTCATTTGGCAACATTAACTAGATGATATTGTAGTGCTGTTTTAGTCTTTCCTCTTCGACACCATTTATGTCCAATTTTTTATATCACTGACAAGTAGAATCTGTCATAATCTTAATAAAATTAACATCTGATTTATTCAGATTTTGTGCAACAATAAAACAGTATCTCTTAGCAAAGACTTTGGCAAGGGGAAGGAGGGGGACATTTAGATACAGTTAAAACATGCAGAGCTCTACTTCTTTCGTACAAAACCAGATGTGCTTTTCTAACCCTGTTCTGAATATCTGATTGTGGATTGGTGAGAACATAATTATCTCCATTTGAGAAGGTTAAAGAATATTTCCTTTCAGTTCTGGCTATGGCTTCTCTTCTGCCCTGACAGTAGGGTATTTATAATTGTAGACCTGAAATTCATATACTTATTAAAAGAGCACTATCATTTAACACATTGCCCGCAGTTTTAGCTTTTTTTGTTTCCTCTTATGCACTTTGATGCAACTCATTATTACTAATATTGAGAGTGGAAAATGATTGTAGGTCCAGCCCTCATAGACACTGTTAATGTTGTGCTTTTCAAATAATTCCTACTACACGTGATGCCAAATCATAGAGAAGTCTGCTGCTGCTTCATACGATAGCCAAAGACTGGGGCGATTGAAGGAGCGGCTGTTCCAGTGCTGCATTACAGTATAAATGTAAAGCACCAACTTGTTTGGCACTGGTTTACCTGTACTCATGCATCATATGAGGTGTGGTGTTAGCCAGTAGTGAGTTCAGACTGTCTGTGTTCAGTCAGGAGGCTGCAGTCATGCTGAAGAGAGGACAGAAAGAGGAGAAAGCACAGCGCTACAGAAGGGGACTGGCAGACACTCAGCATGGCGACAGAGCCAAGACCAACAAAGAAGAAACAGTCGTGATAAAAAAAGATGATTCACTTCAGAGATTTATCACTGAACAGCCTCAATATCAAGTCACTCCAGACAGATGTCAACAGCCAGAAATAACTTACTTTCACGGGTGAAAAGGTGGAACCAACATGTCTGGTTTCTATATTAAAACTTCCAAAATCAAATGGTTCCATAACTGTAAATCGATGTGGCTAATAACACCCTCGAATGCCACTTCACTCTACCCCACCCTTACCCTCTGATCACAATGAACTTTGTGGACCAACATGTAGACAGAAGAATCTTGAAAAGACATTAAATGAACAGGAATGATGAAATCACTGAAATAAGCATAGATCAATGCCAAACCCAATAACCACAACTCCAAATTGTCCCTACGATGCACCAATGATGTTTTGCTCCAAGCATCACAAGGCAGAGAAAACAGCAAAATGCCTGCTTCAGATTCACACCAGTTCATATACTTGTACATGTTTGTTATTGCTATAGTCCTCATCAATATCCCAGATACAGTCCAATAAACCATCCTGATATTGTCACTGTGAATTTACTCTCATACAGTTGACTGGTCACCTTTCTGCATGGGCCCTGAGCCCCGGTAGGACCAGTCAACCCAGTACGTTGTCTTTGGTTGTGGGTTGGACTGAGAGGAGTTGAAATTGTTATCTAAATGTGAGTTAATCCAGATCTTTTTTGAAAAGTCATCTTCTCTTCTTATAAATATATGGGGACAAACAAACCCAATAGACGAACAACATAAGCGGGAATAATGAAATCCAACACAGTTCATTTGTTACTGGAAATGTTTTTTTAACTGGTGGCTCAAATCCAGCAGGTATCCTCTGATTGGGTGGCAGTGCACTGGAATTAGTTCAGGTCTGGGGGGCCAGAGATGAGATATGAGAACAGATCCAGTTAGGACTGATGTTGGTTCTGTTGAGTTTGAGTTATATGTTTGATATTTTTCTGGGCTCTCCCTTCATGTCTCTCCTTCCCTTATGCCCCATTGCTTGTGTGCTGAGTAAAGGATGTGCTCTGTGGTGCGGTAGGGCAACAGTTCATCAGCTGAGGTGGCACTTCTCATTCTGTCCTGTGAAATCAGCCCCCATCAGAGCCCAAAGTGTGTCCCGGTCCAACTGTTATGGAGGGGCATAATAAAGAGGTGGTGAGATGGATGGAGGGCAGGATTTAAGGAGTAGGGCGGCTCATGTCCAGTCCGCCGGGCCGGGCTTCTGTAGGGCCTTAGGGATGAGGTCATTGGTTGTGGAGGGGTAGTAGTGAGGGACAGTGGAGAGGCAGTGGGAGAGGGCAAAGGGACTTTTCTGGGCCCTTTAGGAAGGTCTCAGACCAGGGTTCCAGGTTTGGCCTTATCGTGTCCGTACCACTGCACATCTGCCAGCTCCGAGCACAGAGGGCTGCTGGGAAAACAGCTGTCACTGAAAGACCTGCAGAGGAACACACACACCAGCATGAGACTGACCTCGGAGGGCAACTTCTAGATACTGTCGTCAACATGGTTTCAAGATTATATCCAGTCTTGCAATTGTTTGATAAAAAGTGTTCTCACATACAGCACATGGTTGAGTTTTACTATTAGTAGATCCTGTAAGGGATTAGCCAGTGTCAGACCACAGAGCAGAGCACATGCAGAGGTCAGATAGAGATACAGCCAAAGAAGGAGTACATGACATATACCGCCACCGTCAAAGAGCAAGACATGGTGGACATTCCCCATTGTCAGCCCCCCACAGGCGATGATGAAAGTGATGTTGCCTAATACGTTATTAATGGGCAACTTCCGATAGATTAAAGTCCGATTGTAAGTAAATTCGCTTCGAGGTTATTTTCTCTCTGTTTTGCTGCTGCTGTGTTTTCTGTAAAGTACACTGTAGGTGGAGACTACAGACAGTACCTCTATGCATCAGAGCTGGGCTGAGGGGGAGACTGACAGACGTCCTCAGTAGGAGAGCTGTCTGCTGTGCCTCTAAACCAGGAGAGAGGACACACACACAAGGAAAGGAGGGTTAGTGCAGACAGAGAGAGACAAGGAAGAAATGACAAATGAGGAAATAAGAGACATTTCCCGTGACGTAAAGAGGACAGGAAAAAAGAGCGAAAAAACAAAGATGCAGTGAGTGAAGTCGAGACTGAAACTGAGTATGAAGAAGGTATAAAATAGAACCCACAATGCCATACAAATCTTCCTTTAGGATTAATTCAACAACAGTGTGAAACAATATCAGCTGACGGATAAAACATGGAGTCAAAGCTCGAGGGGATGTTAGAGTGAAGGTTGTATAAAGATGGAGAGAAAGAAGCTGAGCAGCCAAGATGCAGTTTGTCATGAATTAATTTGGATTCATATTCGGCTTGAAGCATGTTGTCATCCCGGTCAGCTGCTGTATGTGTGTATGTGTGTGTGTGTGTGTGTGTGTGTGTGTGTGTGTGTGTGTGTGTGTGTGTGTGTGTGTGTGTGTTAGTCTGTTTGTGTCTTACCCGCTCTGCCAGTTGAGGATGTGCTGTGGGCTACAGGGGGGTGTGGCTGCGTGTTCGCTGGTGGGCGTCATACTCCTCTGGCTGTGAGGGGATGCAGCTATGGGGAAAACAGACAGTTAGTCATGCTAAGTAACACACAAAATGCAGCGTTGTCAGAGAGACACAGCGGACAAACACACATTGACCAGAGACACATATACACAGAGCAAACACACAATATAGAGGCTACAGTGAGGTGATCGGCAAAGGTATTTCAACTTTGCTCCACATGGGGGGAGGGGTTTAGGGGGATGTGGCTCTAGGGTCACTAGGAACGTGTGGGTCAGGGGTCAACTAACACAACTGTCCCATGGGGAAATAGGCCTCGTTGGCGCAGTAGGCAGCGCGTCAGTCTCATAATCTGAAGGTCGTGAGTTCGAGCCTCACACGGGGCATTAACTTTTCATATTTCCATATTTGATCAACAAAGAAGGTGTGTAAATTAAACTCATAAAGCGCTGTTTGGTACAGACTGATCTAATGCTGTTTGGGCTGATCCAAACGTCCAGATTTCTGCTCACTTGCAGAGCAATCAAGATACCCATGTAACTTTTACATTGTACTTATAGAGGCGGACTGTACCAACTGTATTAATGTGAATGTTATGTGACCAAATTACTCAGCAAATGTTCACAGCTCAAAGCTCACAGCTAATCTAATCTAAACATTGCTGGGGTCTCTTAATCCAATGGTCGTGAGTTCGAGCCTCGCACAGGGCATTCCTTATTCAATCAATTATAAATAACAATAAATAAATATAAAGTTTCTCATTTACATTTCAATAAATTGTAAACTTAATAAAAATACAAAAGTATATATATCAAACAGGTTTAGAGTGTCCATCAAATAAAGGGGGAAACACTTTTTATTACTGAAATGACTCAGCTAGGGTTCTGAGTCTCAGTCAATCTGAAAACATGACCCATGGCCCATCTCATAATCTGAAGGTTTGAGGTTGGAGCCTCGCACAGGTCATTGAGTTTTCACAGCATGAACTTTTTCATTAGAAACTCTTAAAAACAAAATAATTGTTTGTATAAATAACAGGACCAGTGTAAAGCTTTTTTCATAAACACACATTTTTACCCAGATCAGACCGGGTTTAATGTGAACAAATAAGAAGACCCACCTGGTGAGCCCTTGGCGAGTGTGCCGACTCGACTCCCCCGACCATGTCCCAGAGTGCCTTGCTGCGACCCTGTCTCGGAGGACGTAGACCCCGAGTGTGAGTGACTCCTGTCCTTCAGGCTCCCTGAGGACCTCTGGTACCAGCCCCGCAGCTCGTCAGACACCGCGACCCTCCCCCCTCCCCCAGCTGACCCCCGACCCTCTCGCCCCAATGAAGGTGTCCGTACGATCTGAGAGCGCGACGGCGTGAGTCGGCCGCTCCCCTCGCCTCCCTCCTCTCCCCCCCAGGCCTCTTTGTACAGCCCCCCTGCCGTGTAGGAGCTGGAGGTTTTGAACTGGGCCTTGACGCTGTAGTGGCCTTCCTGGTCGTTCTCCAGGCTGCGCACCACCACCGGGTTGGGGCTGCCCTCAACGTACAGCGGGTACTCCTTGATGCGGTACTGGGAGGAGGGCTGGCTCTGGCTGTGGAGGTAGACTCCATGGTGTCCCCCTCCTACCCCGCCTCCACCTGAGCCCCCACCAGTGCCGTTCTTAGCTGCCAGGTTGGGCATGGAGCCGGAGTTAGAGGAACCCAGGTGACCTGCCGACCTGGAGGGAGAAAGAGGGACAATCATTCATCAATCTTAGAAAATAACTGTTAAATTATATATATTTAGTACAATAGCCAAATGTTGTGTAAGGAAACCCTTTTAATTGCATCTGCCCCGCGCCTACCTGTGTCTTTGCCTCTGCCTTTGCCTTGCTTTGGAGGGTGAGTCCTCTCCCAAAGTGGAGTAGTTGGGGTTGCTGCCTGGGGGTCCGCCAGAGGGGTAGTAATGCTCCGAGCTGCTTTGGCTGGTGCAGGATGAGCAGTCGTCCAGTGGGTCCGAGCCATTGGAGTTGCGTCCTGGGACCAGGAAGAATTCCGGGCTACCCAGGGTGCCCAGGGTGTGCGGGTGTGCGTCGGGGTCGGGCACCAACAGTTTGCCCTGAGACTCAAGGCTTGAGCTGCGGTTCCTAAAGTGCTGAGCGAGGCTGTGCAGACGGCTGGGACTGATGTCCACTGACCTGAGAGACACAGAATCACACAGCAGGTTACATACAGGCAATCGGATAGGAAAGATATACAGATTTCATGGAATTACAAATGTTTCAATATATAAATAGATAAAGCCCTGTAACCTCATTCTAGTTGGGGTAGACTTGTCAAAACCAGGCATTTTTAAAGTTCCACATAATCAATAATAGAGCAATCTAAGTCTTGAATAAACAATAAAAGGTATAAATGCTGACCTGGTGGAATGTACGTAGTTGGGGTTCCTGGTCCTCAGGTCCGGGGTCGACGGCATGCTGGACTGAGAGTTCCAGAGAGGGAGGTTCCTGATGGGGCTGCTCTGCAGAGAGTTACACCCCCCCGGATCTGCACTGCCAGAGCTGGGGAAACGCCTGTGACTTGGAAAAGAGGCAAAGAAAATAAGCATTTTTGAAACAAATGTCATTATGTCAGCTTTTACATAAGCAACATATGTATGTCATGCTCTACATTACGTCAACAAACCCTAGATTTATTCTCAAGCTAGATAAGATGAACTCCCTCCCTACCTTGAATGAGACGAGCGTTTCTTGATTTTTTCGTATGGCTCATCCAGTGACGATTCACTCCACATCTTGGGTTTGATGGGTGATTTATCGTAGTCAGGGCGTGAGTAGTGCAGATGTCGCAGGCCATCCAGGGACTGGGGCGGAGGGGGCCGACTGTGAGAGGGAGGTCGAGGGGGGAGGCCCTTATGAGGCGATGCTACTGGAGAGAAGGTGGGAGTACCTGTGACTTGAGGATCATCTGAAATAGAGTAATCGTTGAATTAGGTTTAAGATTATTATTTCATAAAATCATGTAAACAGAAGCCCAATAATCAGTTATTGTAAGAATCTTGCACAGAAATCTGCAGGACAGACTTACCATCATCTAAGACCAGTGCGTCAGACAACGAACTGTCTTCAGAAATGTTGGCCTCTATAGGACAGAGAAAAACACATGAGGTTAAATATTGTACAAATAACCAATCTAAAAGCTGCATGTCTAAATGTTGTTGTTTTTTAAAAAAGCAATTTGTGGCTTTCTATTGCCTCTCTGAACAGTAACTGAGGAGAATATAGTTGTGTGTGTGAGATATAAAGAGATGTGAGGACAGTTTTGATTTCAGTGAATAGGAGTTTATTGGTACCCTCTATGATTAGCGATGCCCTCAGCGTAGGCTTCTTGCCAGAGCGGACCCGGTGCTCATTGATGGAGTTCTCAATTTCCTGGAGCTTCTTCAGTGCGTTCAGATAAGAAGTCTTCCTCTGTTTCTTCAGCTTCTTGCTGCTCACGTGAGGATCGCTGGCAAGACGCCTGGCTGCCTCTGTAATCTGGGACTGAATGGCAAACTCCCGCTCCAAACGCTCCAGCTCCTCTTCCTGGGAAAAGCAAAACACACGAGTGCAAACTCTGAGTGACAAGGGCACAAAGATACTGGATTGGCTCACAGTTTTAGCAACAGAAATCTCAGCACAATCCAAAAACAACAAGGCTTAGTTTGCAGACACGTAGTCAGACTCTAACTCTCCCATGCAACGTATTTGGTCAGACACACACACACCAAGCCTTGCCAGACCAAACACACTGCGGAAATCATTTATCTGTGCTGCTGCTTCACATTTCTCACCACCGGATATTCCCTATTGAGTCACCCTGTTCCCCAATAATAACACCTCTCCATCAATCCATCCTCCCCTCCTCTATACCTCTCCTGAGATTTGAAAAGCAGAGAGAATGAACCAAGTAAAATATGCTGTCACACTGCAGACATATTGCATGTTTACCTCACTTAAATATGTGAATCTACTGTACATATATGGTAAGATAAGACAAACCGTCATTGATCCCCATAGGGAAATTCATGCTAAATAGCATAGAATAGTAAAAAACTGAGTATACACAAGAAAATAAACTCATATCAATCATGTTTGCTTTCACCTATGAGAACACACATGATTTCACTTGCCTCTAGAGAGACAGAGCGATGATGTATTTATTTGTGTCAACATCTCACTAGACTACCTCAGTTCAGAGGAATCCCACTCTCTAACAATCCCCACACACTCCTGCCAGAACGGCTTCTGTTTCTGTGTGTGAGGGAGTTTAAGGTGTTCAGTGTAAATTAAGAAACATCCTTCTGCTTGCGAGGCAGTTTTGTGATACTGTGTCCCTGGATTATTTTCAAAGCACACAACCTCAGAGAGACACACCCACACACCCATGCCTGCACACATTCAGGCGCTTTCACAATCCTACTATCACCGCTTCCTGTGGCAAGAATACTGCCAGGCTATTTTTAGAAGTTCTGCTGCTGTGGAAAATCTACCCGTGGCACAAAAAGACAGAGACACAAAGCTGCAGAAAAACTTCTTTCACGAGGTTCAAGACTTCTTAGACTGAAGCTTTTCCATGTTCTCTGTTTCCTTTGCTCACATACCAACTGAGGAGGGATGAATTCAGTTTTCATGATGTCAATCATCACAACCATTATTTGAGTATTAATTAAAAGTAATTGGTTTTGAATACAGCCCTTGATCAGCACTGTATAACATCAAGAGCTTTTAAATAACCAGCTTTGATGTACAAAGCCCATAGTGTTCATAAATAGATAATAATAATAGACTCTTAATTATTAAGCGCTGCATTCAACATTACATTACTGCACCACAGTGCCTTGGACAGGTCCTTGTGGTATTTGGTTTTAGTATTAAACACTGTAACCACCAGATGACCTCCTGTTTTTATTTGGCCTTAAGTGGGGAGCGGGGAGATTGCAAATGTGATAAAGTGCTACTGTGGAAAACAGCCTCACCTCTCCCTTCAGAGTAATTTTCTGCTCGTCCAGTTTGAAGGCGGTACCGATCTTCCGTCTCACTGTGGGCGGCTCCTCTCCCGGATCCAGAGGATACTCCTTGGGAAGCTTTCCTGTCAGCTCCTAAAAAAAACGACAGGAGGAAAGGTTAGAAAGGCAAAGTCTAAAATGGTTCTGGTTTTCTAAGTATTTGCAGAAACTGTTGTTTTTCATACCGCCTCTCTTATGCAGATGTTCTTGAGTTCCTCTAGTCTCTTTTTAAGCGTATCTTCAAGAGCTTCCTGCCTGGCCCTCAGTGCTGCCAGCATGTCTTTCTTAGCTGTCTGGGAGCTGTCTGATTCCTGAGAGCCTGTAGGGCACAGACAACACACAACGTGAGGCGGGAGGCAGGAGCATATGAGTGTGTAGAGTAGTGGGGACTTGTTTTGAGGCAGAGGAAAGGCAGCAAGTATGCGTGCACCTGCTACCCTCGCAGGATGTTTACAGGGAAGTGAGTGGAACGCTTCGATAAGGACACTGAGTGTTAGTTGTGTGTATGTGCGAGTGTGAGTCCTTCAAGGAAGGGGCAGTTTAGGACAAAGTCAGTGACGCACAATCTCCAAGGCCCTGAGATGGTGCCACTCTCGTTTGCAAAAAAATAAATACATACAATCCCCCACACACACACAGAAAAACACATTGTTTCTCTCAGTTGGTCTGTACGTGATGTATGCAGTTCGACATAGTAACAATACTAAACTAAACACAGCTGAACGTTTGACCAGAAATAAATGGCAGGGGGGGGGGGCACCACAGTTCATATGACATGTTTATGTTGCTGGGCAGAGATGGCCTCTAGTTAGCAGTGGATCATGAAATCAACACACTGACACAACACCAAGGAAACAAGTGACAAGACAAAGACACCCTGTATGATACAGGGAGGGGGTGAAATTAGAAAGGGACAAAGAGAAGCAAAAAAGGAGATTAGGAGACTAGGAATGGATGGCTGAAGAGATAAAGAGATTAGGCAGGGATACAGGTATCTATACTTAGAAAATGAAGAAAAGGCAAACAACTGATCCGATAGGACAGGACAGCATGCAGGACATTTTTACTGAAAGAGATTAGTGTTCTTTTGAGTGGAAACAGTAATTGATTCAGTGAGGTGTGCTGTAATCTAAATAGCAGACACCAAAGCCATGCATAGACACCCTCTTCAACCTTAAATGATGCTGCTTTGGTCTAGTGCATTTCATTTTGAATGAATAATGTAGCAGAAACTAATCAAATTTCACTAGATTAGCCTATTCAGACTAATTACTGAACTGACTCTCCTAGCATGCAACACTTGAGATGTCTGTCTGGGTTAAAAAGGGCACTTTCTCTCTTGCTGTTAACATTCATACTTGTTCAACACGGACAAACATTGTTCTAAAGGCCATGGTACATTTGTATATTGACCTTCTGACCTTTTCATTCCCTCACCCACTAAATTTAGAGGGGCCTCTGGAGGATGAGAGTGTGACACAGAGGGTGGGTTCCATACATACAGAAAGACACAGGGCGGGGTGTGTAGACAGTATGTGTGGGAGAACATTCAGCACAGAATGAATGGCCTGTTTCCGGAAGCAGCTGTTTCTGTCTCTCCAGTTGTTGATGAGACACATGCACACACAAAGACTAATACGCACGCGAATCAAATCTTCTCTCCCCCTGTTTTCTTTCTCTCCTTCTCTCATCACAGTCACACACACTGAACACATACTGACCTGACGAGAGCAGACTGCCGCTGCTGCCACTTATAATTTTGCCCTTGCTTCCCATGTTGGCTAGTTTGGAGGTCTTTAGAGTTCCTGTTTCCGTGAGGTCTATAGCAATCTCATTCAGACTCCGCGCTGCATGGATTTTGGACTGGAGAAACGAGAATGGAAAGGGTTTGTCAGAACACATCATTAATTGCAACACACTTACTGACCATGCTTACAGAGTTTACTGTAGCTCTTGTTCATCTGTATTCATGGGTATGTCTGTGGTGGGTCTGACTCACTGACCTTGCTCTGCTTTCGGTCCAGGTAGAACTGGTGTTGGCTGATGGCCATGGCCCAGATGGACTTGATGAGGGCAGGACAGGCGTACCACGTGTGCACAGCGATGCCGCTGTGACCAAACGTCCTTCTCGTCACCGAGGCCCGACTGTAAGAGCAGACACAAAGCCTCCTTATATACACCGTATACAAAAGATGGTCAGTCAAAACACTCCCACCAGACAACTTCCTCATCATCACCATTACCTATACTACAAATACTAATGAGGCTTGTCATGGCTGTTAAAGATAAGATAGTGAATAATTTCACATTTTTGTTATACCCAAGTTGATGCATACATATTCATAAGAAAGGCTAAGATGTTTGGACGGATGGATGATTTCCAATAGCTAAGTCCTTACCAATATAATACCTAAATAGCAGTTCCTCTTTCACAAAGTTCAATCATTAACAGAAAAGCTAAGCTCCGCCTCTAGATAGGGCCTTTCACTTTTTTTACATTACCTGAAAGAAACTAAATTTCTCTGACACTTGTAAAAATGCAGTAAAACGAGCCACCGCCTAATTGACATTGCTTCTAAAGAAGTAATGATGGCCTCTGAGCAAGTAAATACCATGACATATAACCACTGTGTTTTTATGTATTCTATCAGCACTTATATATACTGTGCATCCCTATAAAGAATATTAGAGGTTTAATATGGCAAACCAGCCACACAAGATGTTCCTCATTGTTTACTCATTCTTATTTAAATACACATCTGTAGCTGAGCAACAGGCCCGCTCACCCTAATGACAGCTTCCTGTAAAGAAAACACCACTGCTCTCTGTTTCACCCTGACCGACTCTTTTTCTCGCATTCTCCCTCCCTCTGTCTGTAGAATAACACTCCACATATATAGCTGTGTTAAATAAACACAAGAGAGGTTACTTCCTCTGCAAAACAGCTATCACACAGCCATCTCTCCTTCTGTGGTCAACCATCAAGGCTTTACACTGTATGTGTGTGTGAAAGAGAACTTGTGTGTGTGCATGCATGTGGCTGCACAAGTGTGTTAATATCAGACTATCAATCTGTGTCAGGCTCCACCGAGACATCCCCAATATCCCGCTCTATTGCCAAGAAAAATGCTGCAACTATTACTGAATTAGATTCCAATCACTCTTTTCATGCTTGGATCTCAACACATTCACATTAAACACAGGGGTAATTTACAGTCAGTGCTACTGGAAGGTGCCCATAACTGAGAACCGAAAATGATACCACTTCCAAAGATGAACTACACAATAATTCAATAGTATCGACATTTAATAACTAAAGTATAATTGGTATCATGCAATTCAACACTCAGTTAATTACATTGATATTAATTTACCTCCTGGGGTCATGAACTTCCACAGAAAACTTCTTCTCTCTGAAGTAGAGGTTCTCCAACTGGCGCCATTGGAACACCTTAGGTTTAGGAGAAACAGTCTTCAGGGCAGCTCACACAGAAACATGCTTCACATTAAATCCACACAGCGTTCAGCCAAATCCTCTTTTCTCTTCTGTGTACGTTCCAATTTGTTTTGAGTGAAAAGGCAATGTGTACGGAGGAAGAAAAGAAAAAAAACTCAGAAAGGACTCTGACGAAGAGGAGGAGTTAGAAACAGGGGAGGTGGGGGCAGAGAAGAGGACCTCTGATCAAATCCAGACCGGGCGGTCTTGTCCACAGCAGATCCTTCGCTGGATGACCTCACTCTGGAGAAAGACAGAGTGAGAGGGAGGAGGCCTTCTTTCCTCTGCTCTGACTTTTCTCTTTCCGTCCCCTTTATGAACCATCCGGCCCTCTTTAAATGGAGCCAAAGCCAGCTGGGCGAGAAAGTTTCCCCCAAGACGTACTCCACAACATGTGTGTATCTTAAATCCTCCCAGACGCAGGGGAACAGAACGTTATGAGTCAGTGGGTGTTCACCATCTGTAGGCATGTGCCTGTGTGTGTGTGTGTGTGGAGAGAAAGTGTGTAAAGTTAAGTTTCCTCCTCTCCTGTAGCTTTTCTAGGAGGGAGGGGACATTAATGCCTCCCCTTCTCCTGACCCCTCCTCCCTCCCTCAGGGACTCTGCTTCCTGCTTTGGGCTCTGTGGTTGGGAGGTGTGTGTGTGTGTGTGTGTGTGTGTGTGTGTGTGTGTGTGTGTGTGTGTGTGTGTGTGTGTATGTGTGTATGTGTGTGTGTATGTGCACAAGCATGAAGAAAGGAACAAAGAAATCGGCACCCTTATCGCAACTGCCGCTGTACCGTGCATTTTCAATGGAGTGTGAAGTGCTAATGTAGCATGGTGCTAAATATAGCGGGCAGGGTAGATAGTGGGTGGGTGAGTGTGTTGGATACATATAGCTGTGGAGATAAAATAGCTGTTTTTAACTGTGTTAAGGCACGAGACCACTAAAGCGGTTCTCTTCATCAGCACGATCGAGCTGCTGAAATTCTTTTAAGTAAACTTTGATGTGTCAGTGGAAGTAGAACATGTGTATCTGTATTCACATGATCTACAAGGAGGTGCAATAAAGTTACCCTCAAGTTTAAAATTAGACATTTATGCTGTGATTCTAGGCAGTTTAAAACAGTGCCCCAGATATATGAGCCTTTGTAGTCTTCAGGGCAGACATTTAATAGCGCGGATGTCTGGAAAAAAACATCAAAAATCTGCTGACAGATTATTTGTAAGGAACTCAGTCAAAGTCATTGGGTGCTTCTGTTATTTGGGCGAGTCGCTATAAATCGTTTCCCTCTGACCGTCAAACGCTCGCACAACATGGCACAAACACACAGACACACAAGCAGAGGAAGTGACTGGTCATTATTCAGCAAACAACCGGGTGCTCATGTGCAAAGACCCACGTCTGTCTTATAATACTGTCTGTGCACCCCAGCACACATCCATTACAGATGAAAAGGTTTGATCTGATAGTGTAAAGGCCTTTCTTCGGTGTAGTGGACTCCCCGGGGATTTCAAGAAGAATAGAAGGCTTAAATAGCATATGAATATTATTCTTTTTCAAGAACTGGACCTGAGGCTCTCTATTGTTTCACCCATGGGTGGGGCTCTGGTGAACCACCACTATATCCACTAGTTGTCATGGCGATGTAGATAAACTCAGGAGTGACTTCCTGTTGTTTGTGTTTTGGTTTTGGTGATTTGGAGGTATGACATTTATGGAATAAAACTAATCAGAACAGGCTGCATGAGTCTATTTATTTGATTGCTCTAAATGAAACACAGACAGAAGTTGACTAAAATCAGTGTGTACTTCTAATACACTACAGAAAAACATCAATATGCAGTGAAATGCATGTGAGATCACATTAAGTTTAATGTGCTGTTTAATTCAACCTCGCTGCAGCTTCACAGTATTGACAGAAGATTTCCTGTTTAAGCCTGTCATTCAGCTAGGTAGTCAGTCCAAACCCAGACCCTATAATCTCTGTCTAAATGAGTCAGAACACACCAACGAGGCAATCGTATGGTGTGTGGTTCGGCTGTAAACCCTGCCTGTGTGTACTTTATGTTATCTAAATGTGGCCTGCGGTGAGGAGAGGGGGAAAACTATGTTAACATCCCCAAATAAACGTGAAGGCTGCGGTGAATGGTCTGCATTTAAAACAACAGGGATCTCCCCTCATAAAAAGACAAACTAATTAAACACAACTGCCTCTAGTACACACACACCTATTCTACATAACAAGTTGGAGTCCTTTAGTCGCTTATTAATGAATAAAGAAAGTTGATGTTGAAAAGATTAACCTCTCTTCCTGTGACAAAAAACAGTTATTAGCCCATAATGTGTTATAATTAGTGTTCTGCCTCCTCCTGACTGAGTCACAGTACTGAGGACCTGAGTCACTGGTTACTGGTACTCGACCGGCTGATTGACTAATCACCAAATCAACTGCTCTTCCTCTGGTTTGATGAAATAGTGGTGACTCTCATTACTACCATAACAAAGGGAAAGCTCCCAGTGACCTCTCAGTGTCTCTTCCTTAAAACAAGGAACCACTCTGTGAAAGGAGCACCACCCACCCTCTTTGTCTGCCTTATTAGTGGAAAAAAACCTTACTGTGTTCATTGGGATTTAGTCAGTCTTCTGATGTTGCATTAACAAGACATGCAGTCCACAAATCTCTTTTGGGTCAAGCGCCTTAGAATACAATCCCACTTGTGCGGTGGGGAGGCCCAGCCTTACTTTCTTTGCTTTTAAATGTGTGTTTGCTTGCGTGTGTGTGTGTGTGTGTGTGTGTGTGTGTGTGTGTGTGTGTGTGTGTGTGTGTGTGTGTGTGTGTGTGTGTGTGTGTGTGTGTGTGTGTGTGTGTGTGTGTGTGTGTGTGTGTGTGTGTGTGTGTGTGTGTGCGTGTGTGTGTGTGTGTGTGAGAGTGAGAGAGAAGGAGATAGAAAGAAGGACAGAGGGTAGATAGTGAGGAGATCAGTACCGAAGCTTAACGGACCAATGACTCACACTGAGTGTTGCTATGGCAGCTGAATGCTTGATAAGTCTCTTGTGTGGGAATGCTATTAACTCTTTCTTCCCTCCATGTCGCTCTAAAATAGAAGAAATCCCTCTCGTTCTTCTTTGCCTCACCTCTGAGAAAGCTATCACTTGCCATTTTTTCCATTTCAACAAATATGTATATACTTTGTATAATATTAAACCAGTTTGTGACCGTTTCACACGTTTCCCAGCATGTTTTGTGTGAGTTTGATGTGAGAAAATGAGGACTGCATCCATCCACAGGGTTATTTAACACCTCAGCGGCCACCATATTTTGGGTACTTAATGAGGTAATGAGGAAAGACGGGTGTTCGGTGGTGAGACAGTCATTTACACTGGAATGCACCATAATGTTAGTGGCAAACAGGAAATCTGTGGCAGACAGGAAGTATTCATCAGGATGGTGAGTTCAGAGTTCACTTCAATTCCTGTGTGTGGATGTGTGCATTCATTAGTGTGTGTTTGTGTGCGTTTATGAGCTACAGAGTACCAGACTATGTGTGTGTTGGAGTGTGTTGGTGGTCAGTCAGTATGCTAGGATGCTGTTAACCCCTTTAACACCCTATGAGACCAGGCTGAATGCCACAGATCAAGGCCCTGCAGACGGCTGGAGGTCAGAGGTGAGGTAAGAAAGGCTTTCACAGGCGGCCCACTGGTTGCATCCACTGGGAGGAGGGTCCCATTCAGGGGAATAAAAGCAGGACAGGCCGCAAAACATTCCGGGACTGAATGTCTCCAGACAGTAGTATTTGTACAGCATTGTTAGTACTCTTCCCAAACACAATATCCTGACTCACTGAATGGAAGAAACAGACAGTGGTGGCCATGAAAACATTTCCTTCTAGAGTAACACGTTAACTACCCACTCCTAATTAAAAACGACAGTAAAGAAGTAGGTGCCAAAACTGGAAATATATCTTGGAAGTTATTAAGGTTGTGATTGCTTAATCACAACCTTTTACAATTTCGGAAAATATATAAATACATCTTTTAAAGATCATTGTTTGTGGTGCAGAGAGATCAGAGGGAGCGTCATCTCACCTTCCTGGGTTTGATTTTGTCCTGGTGGTCATACTGAAAGATGCCTTTATAGCTCAGACCCAACCACCATGGGATCCCCTGCTTGTCCTAAAACACAAAACACCAAAAAACGTTATGAAAGGTTGTGCAAGTGTATGTGATTGATGGAGAGAGAGAAAGGCACTGAAAAAGAGAGACGGATAAAGAAAGACAGAGTACAAATAGCTTTAATCTCAATCATAACACCTTATCTCAAACTCACAGAAGGAAGAAAAATGTGTGTGGCATGTGTGTGTAAAAAAAGGAAAAGAAAAGTAGTAAAACGGTACCTTTACACCGTAGTAATGTACTCCATATGTGGGCAGAGACTCTACAATGCTCATATAACTGTGAGGAGCAGAAATACAGACATGTCAGGGTTACAGAGAACACAGACTTCTATAAGGTGAACAAACATAACCAGAGACATATTCAAATACTTACTTAACAATAGCTTGCCCTCTGGACTGCCCACTGATCTTTTTGTAATGCTCCACAACTCTGTCTTCACTGTAGGGCAGTTCATAAATAGAAGAAGGAATCAGGTTAGGACAAGGAGGACCAGTGCAATGTTGTGATGGTTTTTCTCTGTAAATGACTAGTCTCTCACCAGTAGGCCAGAGACGGGTGATCCTTCAGGGCCTGGGTGGGCAGAGCAGGCAGCTTTTTCAGGTCAGACTTGGTTGCTTCAATACTGTGAGGGAGAAACCACAAGACATGATCAACACTACTTCTGCAAGAACAATCATTCTCTGCTGTAGGTATTTAGCTCAACAACTGAATGCAAAACTGAATATTTCCCAGGACTGTCTTAAAAATAACATTGGAAAATTGTAGGAACTAAGTTTAGTTTAGTCAAGAGAGAGGCCATTGGCCTAAATACTCTCTATTTTAGAGAGTTTGTACTGTAGGCCAATTCTCTATTTTAGAGAGCCTTTTTCTAAGAACAGCTGCACAGACAACGACAGTTTGAAATGAGAGAAAAGAGGGACAGAATGTTGATGTTATGATAGTTTCACTACAGTACAAGGTTATTGTACTAGGTATTACCCCAAAACAGATTAATTTTATCAGTAAAATTAATCTAAAATGTTGTTAATTCTTCACTTTGTCTCTTTTTAGGCAGATACATTACACCCAAAATACGGGTATATTGAGGAGTGCCTTGGACAATAGATAACCTTTAGACAGAGTACATGAGACAGGGACCCAGGCAGAGAGACTTGGCTTCAGATTCAGTTTTCAGACCTTCAGTGGCAGGAGGTCTTAATACCCTGCTCTAATCCCCCAGCCTCCCTCCAACCGCCGCCCAGGCCTCAGAGGAGTGGGGGAAGCCCTGGGAACATGACAACCTATGAGCTAACGCCCTGGAAGAGATCCCATCCACCCTGCCCTTCTGTTCCTAATGTGTGAACACAGCTGTGTGTCTGGATTGGATGATAACCATTTCAGTAACTACTCAGTAGGCATACGTGGTGGTGTACAAAACGTTGGCATTGTACTCAATGAAAGGGCAGGAAAGGGTATACATACATTGTGTGCTCTGTGCCATTGTGACATGTTCATCTTCACAAGTCACTCAAATCAATAATTATTTAACATATTAATTGTCTATAAATAATTTATAATTAATACTGTAATGTAACTTTCCATCGCTTGCTGCAAGATCTAAGTCAGTGGTTCTCAAATGAGGGTACGTGGACCCCTAGGGGTACGTTGGAGTACTGCAGGGGGTACGTGAGATTTATTTTATGTTAATGAAAAAAACAACACAAGTAATACATTTAAACAAACTACTAATAGTAGATTAACTACTTTATTCAAAAGTTTACTGTAATTCTGGATAATAAAATGGGAAAAATAAACGGGGTGCTCCATCTGGCGGTTATAGGTATAAATGCTCATATTTTTTTTTTCTCTTCGTTCCCCAAAATAAATAAATATACCAATTTTAGGAAAAGTAACGAAGTTTGAGCAGTGTGGGTTTTATATTGATAGAGTTACACGTATTTCAAAACGTGAAGTGTAATAACTGCGGGTGCCTCCCTGTCACCGAGAATGACAAAGCTCCTCAGTGAAGCACAAGCCCATGTTTCTCGCTAAATTGTAAGTACAACTTATTAAAAAGATGGTTTGCCATGAATTTAGTGATGGATTGTAAACATTTGAAATGTAGCATTTAAGTGTTTCTCAGTTACAAGGTTGTTGTTTTCATAAATCAGACACTGATGGTGCATCGCTGTACTGTACCTCTTTATACAGGCATTTTGTCCCTAACAAATAGTGTTTGCGCTGATCAGGGCTGACATTGTTTTTCAAAGGGGGTACATTATTAAGAACCGCTGATCTAAGTAATGTAAGAGATGTAAGAATAGGTGTTTTGAAGAGTAGCAGCAGTGACCGATGTAGTGAAACCTAATATGGAGGAGGGGTACAGTGTATGGAGTCTATAATGTTTTTAGAAAAGGGAGGTATGTGTGAGTGGGAGGAAGACGTTAAAGGAAAGGGGGAGAAGGGGGAAAGGAATGTCTCCAGAGTGTGTCACATTCCAGCCCTCTGCAGGATATCGTGTTTATTTGCTCCTTTCACAGGCGGAAATGAGGTCAGAGGGGATGCTGTTATCTGTGCTACAACAAAGGGATGAGGGGATGAGGGATGACATACATTTAGGCTAACATCATACAGATGTGTAGAGCCACATGTGGAGAGTAGCTGACATGAAACATTACTTGACTGGGAAGTTAATCTTGAATTTAATTAATTTGAGTTTAAATATTTATTCAGAATATTTTAGTAAAATATTTGTTGGTATAACAAATAATTGTATGCATTAATGTTGAGTCTTAAATTGGAGGAATGTCAATATCTTTTGTTTTTCCTTACACACATGTTGACACAAATCAGAACTGAGTGGCAGCACAGGCTGAAGAGAGTGAATCAAAGTGGAACAAGGGTAGCAGGAAAGAAGCAGGGAGGGGTGCAAACCAAGCTCAGAAACAAAGAGACAGTGATGCACCTCAATGCTCAGGGGAGCAGAGGAGCAGACAGACGACTGATATCACTTCCATTGTCCCTCTGTCTGAGCCTCTCGCTTCTGAATAAACATGTATAAACCCTACCACCCTATCACTGGGGATGAACATTGAGACGGAATATGTGGTATAAACATTTGAAAAGATCACTCCTAGCTACAACTTTCACTTACATTACAAATGATTACAAGTTACTCATGTGCTTACCTTGTGAAATCACCTTTAGCCTCCTGTGGAACAGAAAGGGAAAGAAAAAAGTAGTGAGAGGAGAAAGGATTTACATATGTGGATATGTGAGCACCAAGCAGTGACCATAAAATCTGTGTTTATGTTCGTTGTGCATTGGTGAATTTGCACCCAGGTCTGCTCTGCTCAGAGAGAAATATTAAACCTCCATCTGGAATGAAGCCTCTGAAGGCCTAAAGAGCAGATATCTGATACTGTGCATCTGCACCTGCAATGAGGGCACACACACACATCGACAAACAACTCAGCCAAGTCTATGTGTAACATGACCTTGCAGCATCATAGTTAATGGACTGACCTACTCAGAGAAAGGGATAGGAGAGAGTATGGGGTGGCGTTGAGAAGACTTTGTGAAGTAAAAGAGTTCCTCTGCTGCTCTGTGTTATATTAGCACTGACTGACAGCACTGAATATTTAGCCGGTAGCCAAGATTTTTTCTACCAACTAAGGCAGTTGAGGTTTTTAGGTTTTAAAATCTCCAAGCACCATGGCAGTTTACTGACAGATTGATTACTGCATTAGATCATTTAGGTTTAATCATCGTCAATTATGACTGCAATAGAAAATGTGAATTCAATCATGGTCAATTAGGATCAAAGGCTGGTGGAGACATGCTGGAAGAACATTTCAAAACGTTTCAATGCAGAGCAAAAGCCCCTGGAACAACCAGTGCATTTGGCTGCATGAGCTAAAAACATATATCCAAACAGAGATCCACACAAACACACATGCTTTATCTTACTTGTAGAATAAAGGCAGCCAATTCGAAGACAACATCACTGTCCACTTCAATAAGTTCCTGCAAGAAAAAGAGAGAAGGAAATGATTGTATTACTTTTACTGACTTAACATGTTGGGAGCAAAAGTGGTCGAGCCTCTAATCATCCTCCATTTATCCAAGAAGGGTTGCTTGTAACTTTCATCGCCCTACCACTACCCCTCCAGTTTTCCACTCTCCCTTCTCTAATTTCATGACCTCTTCATGCGGATGGAGCTCAGAGATTAGAGGCAAATAGAGGGGGTTTGAGAGAGGGGGTTTGGGGATTGAGGGTAGGCATGGATGCTCTGGTTACTGATTATTCATTACATTTTCCATAGGTGTTCTTTCAAATGTAATATTGTTTTTTAATGTGGAAATGTGGATTCGGGAAAAGGTAGACTTCATGACAATCAAATATCTTTCTTGGTGTTTGTAATCACAGACCATTGGCATGTTCATATACATTGAATGCTAGGTCTGCTTTGAGGGGGAGAAGGGTATTCAGCAGTGAGTAGTGGGTCAAGTATGCCTGGAATGCTCCCTTTACAATCTACCTCTTAATTTGTTGGGAGATCAGACAGCCAGGATGAAACACTAGACTGAACAAACCCACCCTGGGTGTACCACCCACGTGGCAACAAACCGTCATAGAGTATGTGTTGTCGTACTGTATGTGTTCCCACAGCACAGCACAGAAGGTTTCTCACAACTTATACAAATGCTGAAGCAGAACATATCCCGAGATACAGTTTCTTAACAACCCTGTACATGAACAAATCGTTCTTAAAATACTGCATTATATTTCTTTTCTTGCTCTCTTGCATTGAAAGAGATCATTGTATTTTAGCTGAAGTTTTTATCAGGGTGACATACATGAGCCTAGCGGGATCAGATATCTTCTTGAAGTAGCTAAAGACGTGACTGAATCAGAAACCTTCTGTTTGTGGGTCAGTCTATCCCTGAATACTCAGTTACATAATCACTACCATTCAAGAGGATTGCACACTTTTGCATCCACTTAGCCTGCACAAATAAAACAGAAAGAAACCATATCATTCTCAAAGCCCCCACAAAGGGGGAAGTGCATCCCTATCTGTGCAGCCAAATAGAGTTGAAGTGCTCCTGTGCTATTTGCACATATTTAAATTAGGTCATGTGCCTACATCTGCTGCAAACTGTACACAGAACAGAAGCACAACTTTCCAAGTGTGTTTGAGCAATATCTATCGCTAATCAATCTTGAGATGGGGCAGATAGCGGCTGCAAGTGATGGACGATTCTTGATGCTATCAGTGGCCGCAATACATTGATTGTGTATTCCCCCTGAGTGTCTTCCTCATCACAACTGCAGTAAGACCGATGCTGTGCACATAGTAATAAACTAGACAACCCAAACCTCCTATGTAAACGTAGGTTTGTTGACTATTTGACACTATTAGCTATGTAAGGTTTGTATACCACTTTTATACAACAAATTGCGTATGACACACTAGTCTGAACATTAATTCAACACAAATATGCATTAAATGGCTTTGCATTTATTGTTGGAATTTCCATCACTGTCAGCACTGAAAATAATGGGTCTAATGATATTATCAGTTTTCTACAGAGCTTTGTTTGGGTTGTTTTTGCCCCATTTATTTTTTCAAGAGCACATACGCCCTCTTCTGGACAGGCAAAATAACTGCTGAACACTGGTGTCACTGAATCTACAGTACATTGTTGTCTTTTTACAGGGGAGGAAGTAGGTAGAATATGATAGGGGAAAGCGAACCAGTTAACTGCACAACAAGAAAACATAGGAATTGCCTTCTTTTAGAGGAATGCTTTAAGTGAGTCACCAAATGTTCAAAATATATATTTGCATTTCTATTAGGGAGCTTATGTAGTGTTTATTTTAACAGCCAAAATAAATGTGCTTCAACACTGACAGATGGCAGAAAATGTGTCAAATTATGCGCTAGTTGCTGGAAAGTGGAGCAGCACATATAATGATAGGCAACAGCTGATGCAAATGTTTCACATTTTCTGCTTCACCAAATCCGTGTGGGGCACCAAAGCCCAAGCTGGCCTCTTCATTTAGAACCAAAAATTGGCCAATGAAGTGGCATGCTTCAAATCGTATAAAGTCCATTACCCAACATTATTTTTAACTTCAAGTATACCCACTGAAAACCCCCACCTCTTTTTTTTAGCAAGTCCAGAAGAAAACTCACCATCTTTATTTCTAAAGCATTTTAGGATAAATACATCCCAGTCAACATCATTATGGATATGCATTATGGCAACAGATTATTGAGTTTACCTTGTAGATGATGGACTTGGCATTAAGAAAAAACAGCTCAATAGTAGCATTATCCTTCAGGTAGGATATGCTCTCTATGTAGAACCTGAAAACATAGAGGGATACATTTTATTATAATTGCAAATCATAGGTTAACCTTCAGTTCTACAAATACAATCAGTAAAGTTTATAGTCCTTTTGACCCAGAAACAAAAATGACAAACACAATATATTAAAGGTGGGGTAGGTAAGTTTGAGAAACCGGCTCGAGATACACTTTTTGTAATATTCCATGGAATGCTCTTAACATCCCGATAGCAATGAATATCTTAAGTGCTTTGACAAAAAATCCATAAGAAAACGTCATCTGTGGAAGCCGTAGTACTGTAAAAAGCACGACCAATCATTTTAGCCGGCTAAAATAACTGGATGGCCTACCTGCCTGTAAGCCTTCCATCTGAGGACAAACTTATCTCGTGCCCTCATTGGTCATGTGCTCGTTCGTGTGTGTTGGAGGAGGGGCTCTGTAAGGAATTGGCAGATTTTTTCCGGCTGTGTATTTTCAAATTCTAGTGCACTCGAGCTGGTTTCTCCAAAATGACCTACCCCACCTTTAAGGTATAGTCATGACTGAGACAGATGTATGCAACGACCAGAGGGACCAGAAGAGGGCCCACCATACCAAAGGCTGACCCTCTACACCTCTTAAACAGATCCCCTCTCTCACCAAGTGTGTTGGCAACAATCCATTATTAGTTTGTTAGTGTGAGCACATTCCTCAATCTGAATGCACACACATTCACACACTCACACACACACACACACACACACACACACACACACACACACACACACACACACACACACACACACACACACACGCACACACACACAGTGGATGTGCACATGATGCACTTCACACATTGTCCACTTCTCTGCATCATCAGCAGTGTGTAGTGATTCCACATGCAAATACAGTACAGACACACACAGATACACACACACCAACACACCCCCCCCACACACACACACACACACACACACACACACACACACACACACACACACACACACACACGCACTGGAGAGAAGCACAGTAAACCACTTCTAGCAACGTGATGAGGTGTGAGTTAACATAATAATGCCGTCTAAATTTAGCTCATGAATGCATGCAGAGCCAGAGGGGAGCAATGATGGAACGCTAGGAAGCTAATGATTGTTAGCTGTTCTTTGATGGAAGCTAACATCTTACAGTAAACATCTTCAGTGTATGACTTGATGTATCCCAAAAGTGTGTACAATGTGGCCTAAGCACATGTTCCTATGGAAACACGTGTATGTGTCGATTTGTGTGTGTATGAGTGTAAAGGTATTGAGTCAGAGGGATTGTAGGAGGATCAATATTGGAGGGTTTAAATCGCGTTGAGAGGAGCCATGTCAATATTCAGTGGGAACATTTCATTAAAGCCACGGTGTTGATGAGTTATACACACACTGCCAGCACAGCAGCAAGCATGCAAAAAGGCTCCCACTGAATCAGCTGGAGGTGGGCTGCTGCCTAGCATTTATGGGAACACAGTATACGCATTGCACAGATACCACATAAGCATGCAAATAGATGTTGTGCATGCACCTGGCAGTGACACACCTGCACCCAGAGACAACCTTTCCTTGTGCTAATGAAAACAATATGCTCACATTGATCATGGATTCAGGCATGGCATTTGGGCGAACGGTTGCTCCATTATAGTCCTGAGTCTGCCTATGCATGTGTATGTGTTTCTCAGGGTTGGGTGTGTGTGTGTGTGTGTGTGTGTGTGTGTCTACAACCCTACAATGCTTATTATACTCTGAGGGGTTTATTTAGACGGGGGGTGTGTGTGTGTGTGTGTGTGTGTGTGTGTGTGTGTGTGGGAGGGGGTGTTATTGTGACATTTGGAAAGATTTAGGTGAGAGATTGGAGTAAACGGCGAGAATAAAAAGGGGGATGCAGCCTCAAAATGGTGTCAAAGTTCACAATGTCACAGCCCCAACACCACAACATCCCTAAACACCTATTAGTCTATTTAAATACACACACATTGACCCACACTCTGACCATCACGGGGACACACATTTAAAAAAAATGTTTTATAGCTTACCGCAGATAAAGAGAGATGGTAACTGTGTATATCAATGCCACTTTACTGAAAGAGGCAGCACTAAATGCAGCAAATTATATTCATCTGCACATGTTTTTAGTATATCAAATTGTACAATGACAACATTGTTAACTAAACAGGGTGAACAATGTGTCTAAGAATACAATTTTGCTATACAGTCGCCTCATTGTGTCATGGTGAGCTGTGCCGTAAATGTCGCCCTGGAAATGACTACTCAGTGACATTGTTTAGCAGGGATAATGTACGTCATGTTACTATGTACGTTGCTAACCAAGCTCAGTCCCTGGGGTGTATATGACATCATGGATATTTGTTGGGGACAGAGCACATAAGTGGACCCAAAACAAAGGCTTGGCTTTCCCTCTGCAGGCTCTGACTGAGAGCTCCTGTGTGTGTGGGCAGAGGATGGCTTTGTGTTTTCATTTGAGGCCAAGAAAGATTAGAAAATATCCTCGCAGGTCAGGTGCCTTTTTCTTGCATTTGCAAAAGCCTATTGAAGATAAAACACCCACATGCACACAAACAAAGAACACACACACAAACACACAAATGCACACTTGTGTGAGTTTTTAAATATGAGAAGGGCTTTTGTAAGGGCTAAGAGAGTAGTGTGGGTTAGTTGGATTATTTCATGACCCTATCATAACAGGTCATAGAAGAGTCTGCTTTAAATGAGAAGTAGACTCCAATACAGCAAGAAGAGCACACTGTAGGATTGTATGTTTCGTATTGGTTGAGTCAAGAACCAGACTATTTTCTTCCATGTTTAAGCATTTAAATTGACACATAAAGATTTAACAAACAAGGCACCAACGTTTTTTTAAGTGATCTGTCTAAAAAGTATAGTACAGAAATGCCACAGCTTCTCTCTGTACGTGATCCGGCCATCCTGTTTGGAATAGGGCACTTTGTAGTCACCACAAAGCTACTTGACGGGATTTGCATGCAGCGCATAATGATAAGGTATAAGAGGCTCATGATTGGCTGAGAGGCCCCATGGCGGGAGTTTAACTCTGGGGTCAAAGCAATTTCATAGAGGCCTGTCATAACTAACCTTGTTAATCTGTTCCTATTACCACATGAAGGCATAAGCATACACTAACAGTTTTAGCGACGTACTCTCTCTCTCTCTCTCTTTCTTTCTCTCTTTCACACACATTCAAACAATGCAATCAGTGACTGGGGCATGGGTTAGTTAGCTGAGTAATTTAATAAAGAGAGACTCACCTGACACAGAAGTAGAGGACAATTGGACCAGACTTCTTCGGGAACTCATGTTCTAATACCCTGCGGTCCAACTGCAGCCAACTAAAATGGCCCCTGATGAGACAAAACAGCCAATCAATGCCTTTTATTCAGGGAGGTATAATTATCCAAAAAGAATACACAGAACTTATATAATTATGCTAAACATTTTCTTTTCTTGAATCTCCCCATGTTTCTTTTCCTATTTCCATGTCTTCCCTTCTGTTGCCCCCCCTTTTCTCTCTCCCCCTCTCCTCTCTTTTTTCTGTCCCCCTCCAACTGAGAGAAAAACTGCAGAGACAGCTTGTCACCCTGGTAACCCTGCATGGTTTCCTGAGCAACTGAGCAACATCTCTCTCTCAAGCTCTCCCTCCTTCTGTCTCTCAATCTATCATGCGTTTCCCTCCCAAACGGCCTCTTTGACCACTGAGCGGTCAGCTCTGAGGCGTCTGCTCTCCCCAGGCCCTCGGAAAACAAATCTACACATCATAGAATTAGTCCTGGGGGGCTAAAACTACAAAGATGATATAGCTTTGCTGGACAGACTGTGTCACAGCCATGTAAATGCCATGGAGCAGAGGCTGTTTTTTCTTGGCATCAAAGAGAGAAAACAAAAGGCCAGGTTTGCTTGCATGTAAATCATTTGTATATTGCAGGACTAGTTCTGGAACCTGCTGTGGTGTGTCTCTCTTTCTAGGTCACCAAACACAATAAAGCTAATTTGAATGTCATTTTTGTATTTCAAGCACAGTTCTCGTACCAATCCTTCTGACAGACACAGACTTGTGATCTTTAGCTAGCCCAGAGCAGGACACTGGTAACCTTATCATAGCATCAAAGCCCTTTATAACTAGGTATCTGATCATACATCAGTGTATGTTTCAGCATGATATTCATGATCAAGATGAATGAAGGTAGCCAGATCCTTTTACTGGCAAATAAAAGATAGGTGAAAACCATAAACTGGATATCTAGGTTTTTTCTAAGGACATTTCTTATACTAAATAAACGTATACAAACATATGCTAAATACACGAAGTAAACATTATCAAATTCAGCAGGAAAAAAAAGGCCATACAAAGGGCCACATTTAACATTTCTAAACCCATATTTCAAACTTAAACACTGTCCTGTGAAATTGAGTATTAATAGTGATGCTTTTGTTAAAACATATTCAAAGCACACACATAACATATAAATAAAACCATGCTACTACATCATTTATGCTTAAAACTAATGTCAGTTTTTTTCCCCTTTGTCATCTATGGCAACCAATGTTACAGTGTAACAGGGAAGAACAAACACAATCCAACAAACAAAACAAACTTTAGACCTATTCCTGGGCTACTGAAACACCATACAGTATAGAGAGTTCACTTTCAAATGCATTACTATTCAAATGTGACTTACGTTTCGTCTGTGTATGCAATACCAAAGTACTCCTTCTCCTTGAGGTTGAAGTGCGAGGCCACCAGGTCCAGCAAGTCCTTTGCCATCAGCTTGGGCTGCAGGGGGACAGACACATTAGTATTGCTCTCATTATAGTTTGAATTTGAGTTATAAAGTCCTGTCTCTGTGTGAGGGTACTTTATCAAACTGTAGTGAAATTGGAACAAGTACATGTGTAGAGCTTTATGTTAATGTTTCTATCAGCTATTGATTAACTGCAATGACTAAGCATTCTGACAAACAAGGGGGAAAAGAGGAAAAGAGCAAGAGAGGAGGAGATACATTAGAAAGAGAGAGTGCGAGAAAGATGGATGAGTGTGTGGATGTTGCTGACAGTGCAGGTACCGTGCCCTTCCCCTCCCTGCTTTCCGCCCATCTGACCCAAACCTCTACTGCAGAGTCATGCCTCCAGGCTCCACCATTGTATTGTAGGGAGAGGGCTGCAGCTAGCATACAAGCTTTCTAACTGGTTTATACTCTGGAATACTGTCCGAGCTTTATATAATGACAACCTCCAATTATCACGACGCTCAAAGCTTGCAGAGCATCTTAAAGCCAGGCAGAGGCCGGGGACTGCTGCCATATGCTGCTGGTTTGTGACATCCCGAGTAACTGCACACCCCACCCTGAGGTTAACCATGGGTGTGCCTCGCTGCCTACAGTTTCATTACAGGCACACACACATTCTGCATGGACATATGCACTAAAGAGCCCATGCACAACATTCATGCAGCCCACTCACAACACACAGGAGGTACATGTGTGATGTGCTGTGTATGTTTAGGATAGGGGACAAGGGAAAAACATACGGTGTGCAACCATATAAACACACACACACACACACACACACACACACACACACACACACACACACACACACACACACACACACACACACACACACACTTAACAATCTCCCCCTGAGGTCCTTTACTATCTGTTCAGTGCACAACTTCAGTGACAGAAGCTAC